CATAGTTTGTTTATCCATTCTTCTGTTGATGGGCCCTAGGTTGTTTCCATCTTTTTGCTATTGTAAATAGTGCTGCGATGAACATGAGTATGCATATATTTATTCTTGTCCTTGCTATCACTTCTTTAGGATATATACCTAGCAATGGAATGGCTGGGTCAAATGGTATTTCTAATTCCAACTTTTTAAAGAATCTCCATACTGCTATCCACAGTGGTTGTATCATTTTACAGTCCTACCAGCAGTATGTGAGAGTCCTAATCTCTCCACATCCTCACCAGCATTTGTTATTTTCTATCTTGTTGAACTTGTCCACCCATTACTGCTGGGGCCACATGGTATCTCATTGTTATTTTGATTTACATCTTTCTAATGGCTGATGATCGTGAACATTTCTTCATGTGTTTGTTGGCTGCCCTGTGGTGAAGTGTCTATTCATGTCTTCTGCCCATTTTTTAATTGGATTATTTGTCTTTTTGATGTTCAGATGTTGGAGTTTTCTATAAATTTTAGAGATAAGTCCCTTGTCAGATATGTCATTACTGAATATTTTTTCTAATCTGTAGTTTCTCTTTTGACTTTTGGAGAAGTCTTTTGAAGTACATAAAAATTTAATGTTTAGAAAGTCCCATTCATCTATTTTATCGTCTGCTGTTTGTGCATTTTGGATTATGCTTAACAGTATTTAGGCCATAAATTAAGGCCCCTAATTTTGCCCCTATTTTTTTCCTTGAGGAACTTTATAGTTTTAGGTTTCACATTTTATCTTTGATCCATCTGGACTTAGTTTTTGTGTATGGTGTGAAGTACGGATCTTGTTTCATTTTTCTTGAAATGGGTGTCCAGTTTTGCCAGCACTATTTGTTAAAGAGACTGTCTCTTCCTCCGTGTAATGGATTTCAGTCCTTTGTCAAAAATCAGCTGACCATCGGTCAATGGATCAATTTCTGGGTTCTCAGTTCTTTTCCACTGGTCTGTGTGTCTGTCGTCGTACCGATACCAGGCTGTTTTTTACTACTGTGGCTGTTTGGTAGGTTTTGAGATCTGGGAGTGTGAGACCTCCTAGTTGCTCTTCTTCTTCAATAGTGCTTTGCTTTTCTGAGGTCTCTTTCCCTTCCAGATAAAGTTAGTGATTGGTTTTTCCATGTCCTTAAAGAATGTTGATGGTATCTAGTTTGAGATTGCATTGAATGTATAGATTGCTTTGGGTAGCATTGACATTTTCACAATGGTCAATCTTCCCATCCATGAGCATGGTATGTGCTTCCATCTATGTAGATCTCTTATGGTTTCTTGAAGTAGTGTTTTGTAGTTTTCTTTGTTACAGGTCTTTTGTGTCCCTGGTGAGATTTATTCCCAAGTACTTTATTTTTTTGGTAGCTGTTGTACATGGTATTGATTTCCTTTTCATCAGTCTCTTGGCTGATGTAGAGAAATCCAGCTGATTTTTGTATGTTGCTCTTGTATCCTGCCACAATGCTAAATCTCTCAGTTAGGTCCAGTAATTTCTTTGCTGAGTCTCTTGGGTTTTCTAGGTATAGGATCATATCATCAGCAATAAGGGATAGTTCAGTCTCCACTTGAAAGCTTTTAAGAGCACAGTCACTACTCACCAAAGTAGGTTTTGGAACAAGATTTTTATGTACTGTGTTGTGCCAGTTGAACATGATGTCTCCCAAGACTATGGTCCAGAGCTGGCAGGCCGGTGATTTTCTCCCTCAAGGTGTTCGGTCATCTCTGAGAGGTTATCCAACTCTGTCTTCTGTTCCTTCTGTAATGTGTGTGGCTAATTTTGTAGCACAAGTGCATATGTAAGATTATCTTCAGCCAAATCTATCCTTGGTCTAGAGTATGTTCCTATTCACCAACCCCTACCTCATCTTCTCACTTGTCTATACATTTATCCATAGCCTGGTGTTTGGTGTTAGTGGTAATGCAGCATTGTGCATATACTAGTATTTGCATCTGTTGTCTGTATCTTATGTACATGTTTCCATGTCCTTCTATTCCCCAGTGTCGTTATGCTGGTCACAGAGTCTTTCTGTACCCTCCCTCACCTCACCCAAATCAACATGTGACCCTCAACTAGTCCAAAATTTTCCCTCCCATCCCCAGTAAACAACAGGCCAGATTTATGGTTTCTTTAGTGAAAACCCTAAGTAAACCTTTCCTTGACTTTTTCAATGAGGGCTTATACAATATTTGTCCTTTTGCGATTGACTTACTTCACTCAGCATAATGTCCTCCAAATTCACCACCTTTATGAGATGATTTGTGTATTCTTCATTATTCTTTAACGTAGCATAGAATTCCATTGTGTGAATGTACCATAGTTTTGTTATGCGTTCATCTGTTGATTTAGGCATTTAGGTTGTTTCCATCTCTTTGCTATAGTGAATTGGGCTGTGATGAACATGGGCATGCATATGATAGCATCTATTCTTAAGGTGACTCTGAATTCAGGTGGGATATACTGAAAGTTGTGCTTCAGTTTTCATTTACTTGTTTTAATTTTCTTCAGTTTCAAATTGAACTTATATTTGAGCAGTTGATGGTCTATTCCACAGTAGGCCCCTAGCTTTTTTCTCACTGATGATATTGAGCTTCACCATTGCCTCTTTCCACAAATACAGTCACTTTGATTCCTGTGAATTCCATTCTGCAAGATTCACGTGCATAGTCACCATTTAAGTTGTTTAGAAAAGGCATTTCTAGTGAATAACTCATTCTTGCAAAATTCTATCATGTATTTTCTGGTGTCATTTCTGTCACCAAGGCTGCCTTTTCCAACTACGGCTGCCTTTTCCAACTATTGCTCCCTCTACTGTGTTTCCAACTTTCACATTGCAATCATCAGTAATTATCAATGCCTCTTAATTACATGTTTGATCCATTTAAGACTATAGAAGTTGTAAAATTCAATTTCTTCATCTTTAGCATTATTGGTTGGTGCATAAGTTTGAATAACAGGCAAAAATTTGTAGAGCAGAAATTGTGATGATTTCCTGCCATGTAGTAAAGTAATACCTCAATTATTCCTTCTGTCTGCCCCTAGTTCTGCTCTTTGGGATAAATTCCATGCCCATTGTTCTTCATAGCACTTGGCTTTGCTCATTATGAAGTTTTTCCTTGTTTAATTTTCTCTGCGAGTTAGGCTTTGAAAACTATACCTTCTTTGACAGAGCTGACTTCGGTGCAGGATTGGGGGCACAATGATAGCTCCAATCATCAGTCATAGGCTTTTGAAGGCCAGATTTGTGGTTTCTTTAGTGATACAGTTCCTTCAAAAACTTCAAAAACTTCTAGGCTGTTTGCTTCCTGTCAGCTTTATGTTAGAGTAACCAAACTCAAAGATATTTTTCCAGGTGATACAGAGTTATCCTGTTTAATTTACTGGCTTCTGTGGTTACCCCATTTCTCTCCTCAGTTTAATCCTAACCTTGAAACCAGCTGAAACTAATGTGGCACCCTTAATCTGACCTTTGACATCTTATTGCTGCTAATCTTCTGATTTTTAGAGATGCAAAAGCAGATGTTTTCAACTTTCTGCCTTTTTCAAACCATTTTATTAAAGCTTAGTTGGCATGTGGTTATCTTTCCATGTGGTAGGAAACAGCTTACCAAATGTTTTATTATGCCATAAGTTGGCCACCAGCTTTCCAGTCTACAATATCTGTTACCTTGCAACCAACCACCCTATTTCTAAGCCAGTATCATATTTATATTTTCAACAGCAGCATCCTACCTATAGTTAATACTTTTTGTATTGCTTTAGGGTTGGTTCAGTGGTAGAATTCTCCCTTTCCGTGCAAAAGACCCAGACTTGATTCCCAGGCAGTACACCTCAAGCACAGCCACTACCCATCTGTCAGTGGAGGCTTGCAGGTTGCTGTGATGCTGAACAGGTTTTAATGGAGCTTCCAGACAAGAAAGAAAGGCCTGATGATACAATCTAAAAATCAACCAATGAAACCTTGTTTATTACAGCAATCTGATCTCCAACTAATCATGAGGACTAGGCAGTGCTTCATTCCTTGTGCATGAGTTGGGGGTTAACTTGATGTCAACTAGTAACAGGATATAGGTTTAGCTGATATAACAAAGCAATCCAAAAAATACAGTGACTCAAGTAAGATAGAAGTTTGTTATTCTCTTCCATAGTAGTCTGAGATAAACTCTCCAAAGCTAGTTGTTGTTGTTATGTGCCGTGGAGTCGGATCTGACTCATAGCAACCCCTCCTTGGGTTTCCGAGGTGGTATCACTATGGAAGTAGATTGCCCAACCTTCCTTTTGAGGAGTGGCTGGTGGGTTTGAACCGCCAGCCCCCTGTGGTTAGCAGTCAAGAGCCTTAGGCATTGTGGTACTACAGCTCCTCCAAAGCTAGTAGGACAGTTCTTTTCCATGAGGCTATCTTGACATTCAGGTTCTATCTTGTTTTGCCATTCTTAGCATCTTCTCATTTGCATAGTTGAAACTGGCTTGCACTATCATGGCCATATTCCAGTTCATAGGAAGGGGAAAGCCTAAGAATGGAGGGCAAGGGCAATCAATTTCCTTTTCAAAAACATGATTTAAGAGTTGTGCAAATGTCACTGAATAGTGTTGACATACCATAGGTCAAAGCTTAATCACTAACTATAAGAGAAATTAGAAAATCAAATCCCTAACTGGGCAGCCATGTTCCTTCAAAGAAGGAGAGAATACTGGGAACACTAGAAACTAGGGAACAGTGAACAGTCTACCACATTGTGTATTTGCATCATTTCTGATTGGTAAGGTTGCTTGTGATCCAAAATGAAAAATCCTTAGATTTCTTACTTTCCATTGAGTTTGTCATTCATGTCCAGGGATCTTGTATAATAATGAAACAGTGTGAAATTTGCTATAATGTGGCTTTTATAAACATTGGACAGTTGAGTTAGAGAGAGGCTAAAGGTAAGCAATGGTCCAGCAGTGGAAAAGGTGACTTACTTATGTTCATTTATTTTTCATCTTTGAGTGTGCGGTAAAACTTGCCAAAATGGTTGGTTATGTGAGTGCTGGCACTGTGGAATACCTCTACAGCCAGGATGGCAGCTTCTACTTTTTGGAACTGAACCCTCGGCTACAAGTGGAACACCCTTGTACAGAGATGGTTGCTGATGTCAACCTTCCTGCAGCACAACTCCAGGTGAGTCACTCTGATTTGAGAAGATTGGAATTTTAGACATACCTGAAAAACTGGTTTGACCAGTGTCTGATAAGAGAAAACACCTCCTGTTTGAGCTGGTGGCATAGTAGTTGAAGCATTCAACTTCTAAACCAAAGGCAGCAGTTTGAACCTACCAGCCATTCCACAGGAGAAGATGAGGCAGTCTGCTTCTGTAAAGATTTACAGTCTTGAAGCCCCCATGGGGCAGTACTAAAAGGTTCTGTAAGGAGGGTTGTTATGAGTCTGAATCAACTCAAGAGCAGTGGGTTCTTTGAGTGCCATGTAGTGTTTATCTTGTGGTTGTGTACATAGTGGGTTGGTTTTACATATATATGGTACCAAAACCAAACCTCCTGCCATTGAATCATTCTGATTCATAGCGACCCCTGTAGGGTTTTCAAGGCTGTAAATCTTGATGGAAGCAGATTGCTTCATCTTTCTCCTATGGAGCAGCTGGTGGGTTAGAACCATGAATCTTTTGATTATCAGATAAATGCTTTACCTACTTAACCGGAAGAGCTTCTTCCAATATAGTACAGACATACGAAAATTACTATTATTATTATTATTTTTTAAGCCAGATACATCTGATGTAAACTCATATTTTAGAAAGAAACTTTACAAATATTATACTTTATTCAATTGTTTCACTATGGAAGCTCTGGTGGCATAGTGCCTAAGGCATTTGTCTGCTGACTAGAAGGCTGGTGGTTCAAACCCACCATCCACTCCCTGGAAGGAAGGTTGGGCAATCTACTTATGTAGCAATACTGCTTTGGAAACCCAAGGAGGGGTCACTGTGAGTCAGATCTGACTCCACGACAATGTTTGCATTGCATCATTATAGGAAACCTTACAACTTTGGAATTGTTCCCTACTCCTCTTTTCTATGTTGGAGAAATTCCATACCAGAGTTGTGGTCAGGGGTTTTTCTCTAAGATTGTGGTATCCCACATTTGTATTTGTTTTGATTTTTTTAATTTTCCGAGATTTGTTTTTATAATGTACAAAGTGCAGTTGTCAATTACTGCCTCCTCTTAGCCCAGGAAACAGATGTTATTGGAAGCAGTAATTGCTGATGATAAAGCCTGGCATTATTATTTATAGCTAATATATTCTTTGCCCTCACTAGGACCCTCCTCTAGGTTCCCATTAAGGACTAAAGATTTATTTACTTCTTCGACTGTTTTGTGGGGCTGAAAAAGATAATTATGACATAGTTAGAACTTTTTAGCAATCTGAACTCATTGAATAACCATTGTTACTGACATTTCCCTTGGATACCTTCATTTTGGTTCCTTGATAGAGAAATGACACTAAGGGGAACTCATGTCTATTGCTTTAGGGATTTGGGGACTTTTTTCAGGAGTGAGGAATATCTAGCAAGTTATCTATAGTGACATACCTTGTTTCAAGTACCCTAGAGTTAGTTGTTTAGTAATTGTACAATAAGACTATAAAAATAGAAAGTTTTAGTTTTTGGCTAATTAAATGAAAAACTGTAGGTAATTTGATATCCTTCACATTTTAAGGAAAATACTGTGGAAAATGAGTGGTGTGTGTGTTTTATTAACTTTCAGATTGCCATGGGGATACCTCTGTATAGAATCAAGGATATTCGTATGATGTATGGAGTATCTCCCTGGGGTCATGCTCCCATTGATTTTGAAAATTCTACTCATGTTCCTTGCCCAAGAGGCCATGTTATTGCTGCTCGGATCACTAGTGAAAATCCAGATGAGGTAACATGCCACTTACAAAGTTTACACCTTTTATCCCCTTGGGAATGTTAGATAATATCTGAGGACATACATCTGAAATATCTTGAGACTTTTTCTGGGGAGGGAAATTTATAGAGGTTTTGGTTAGAAGAGTTAAATAAGTGATTACTGCTCCATTGGTCACTTAATCCCACTTTAGCACTAAAAGATCCTCGCTGGATTTATAGCAATAGACTTTGGCTCTTAAGCTTTTATGATCTTTGTGCACCATTTCTGCTTCTTTGTATGATTAACAGCCCAAACAATGAATATATATGTATTCTCTTCCTTGGAACTATAATATAGTCTCTCATATTCAACATTCTTTTAACAGGGTTTTAAGCCCAGCTCAGGAACAGTTCAGGAATTGAATTTCCGCAGCAATAAGAACGTGTGGGGTTATTTCAGTGTTGCTGCTGCAGGCGGACTTCATGAATTTGCTGATTCTCAATTTGGTCACTGTTTTTCCTGGGGAGAAAACAGAGAGGAAGCAATTTCGTAAGTATAAAAGCATTTTACAAAAAAAATTCATACTAATTTTCAGTGAAGCTGTGAGCATGGGAATGGGAGCCACTTACCTGATAGAAAAGTTCTAATATGGACAACTTCATTGCTGAAAATATTTTAAATCATACTAGCATTTATATTTTGTTAAATTTTACAGGGTTTGACACACAGTTACCTGTTTGTTCTAAACCTTTTTAAGTTTTTCTTTGTTTCAAGTAGTTTTGGTAGGCTTATATGATTGATTATTTTAAAGGTATCGTATTTTCCTTAGACACTATAGTGGTAGGGGAGAAGGAAGATTCTAGACCAAAAGTTTGTGCAAAAAGAACAGGGGGTGGCATCCTTCTCTGACCTCTTAATTTCATAAGGGGGAGTCTCCCTCAAAACTTTTACCAATTCTGACACCAACTGTCCCTTCCATAGCACTTAATACTCTTCTGGGTTTGCTAGTTTGCTAGTTTGCAATGACTACACAGAACTCAACAGACAGTGCATACAATTTATAGGGTTTATTAAAGAGTAACAGGTTACAATTGAGGTTTAAGAACATGCTCAGGATGCACTTTGATCAGGACAGTCTCCCCTTGGCCATGCCCTCAGGAGTGCCTCTCTTTGGCCCTTGACCTCTCGGCCTGGTCTCTGCCCTCCTCAGGCAAGTGTTACAAAGCTCTGTGGATAGGTACACCTAGGTGTACTCCAGTCAGCTAGCAAGCGTTCTGCCCAAAGGCACTCAGCTGTCTCACTCCCTAGGCTAACAAGCCCACTGCTCTGCCTCATGCTGGTCTCTCGGTGCTCTGTCTCGTGCCAGTCTCTCAGTTCTGCTGCCACGTTATCTCTGCTGTTCGTCTCTGCCAGGGGTGTCCAGTACAGGGATCTCAGGTCCAAGGACTCCCTTCACTCTATCTCTAACTCTTAACTCTTGATGGCGGTGAGATCCTCCCTTCTGCCTCTAGGAGGGCTCATTTTAAGCCTAGCTGGATGACAAAACTGACCAATCCCCACATTAAGAGTTTCCTAAATCTTATTTCCATGATCCCACCACAAAGGTGCTTTCTAACTTTATTTACATTACTAACAAGCTATCCAATTCCCTTGGTGGGCCATAAGCCCCTTACTTTGCATAGTTCCACCCAGTCATCTGATGGGAGTGAGAACAACTATGACTAGAAAAGCCATACCAAGTAATTCACTGCACTGTGTTGTTGTTGTTATGTGCCTTTGAGGCAGACCCTACTCATAGTGACCCCTCCTTGGGTTTCCGAGGCAGCATCACTACAGAAGTAGATTGCCCCATCTTCCTTCCGAGGAGTGGCTGGTCGGTTTGAACCGCCAGCCTTCTGGTTAGCAGTTAAGTGCCTTAGGCACTGTGCTACCAGAGCTTCCTCAGTTTGACATAAATAAATGATAGATGAGATCCACAATTTAATATGAAAATAAAGATATAACTATAAATTCCTATAATTATTAAAAATAATAAAATTATGCTGCTTGTTTTATGAGAAGAACTGTCCACATTGCTTAGATAAGAGATCCTGGTGTGTTATAAAATATAGACACAGCTTCTACTAATATAACTGTTACATCATAAACATTATTAATTAATAATAGACCTTACATATTAAATTAACAGAAAATTGACTTGTCTTAAAAAGTAAGGCCTAAGGAGATACTTTAGACAATGCAGATACTTTAGAATATCTATCCAAAATATATGTTTATATTTTTTAATTGTGTATAGTTTTGGACCAGACATTCAGTGCCATTCCCTTGATCTTTGAAATGTATACAAATAATAGGTAATAAATAACTATTCATTAATACTGTTAGTTATCAATAGTGTTCCAGAAGTAAGGAAGTATCATTATTTCTGTTTTGTCTTCTGTAATTCTTTCCATGTATTCAAAACTATCAGTAGAGTTTTTCAAAATTAAGACAATGGTACCAATAAAACTATGTGGTTTACACTTGTCAGTTTTTATCACTGTCATATCCTGCTTTGCCAAAGTATGAACAGTGTTTATACTAGAGCTTGCAAACTGATGGTTTCCAGGCCAGTCTCAGCCTGCAAATATATTTTGATTGGCTCACAAAGTGTTGATTTTTTTAAAAACATTACTTATATTTAAAAATTGAGAGATTGAAATACAAATCTGGATTTCTGCCTTTCCTTCAGAAAATGGGATGATGGCTTTATATTCTGCTTGGCAAAAGTCAGCTGAAACTTTGATCTTTTTTTTAATGTGAGACATGAACTCTCTAGTTAACCATATCACCCGCCTGATGTGCCTCACTGATTTATGTTCCGGAGTGGTCTCTGAAAGCATTTAGATTTATGGTCCTGATTCAGCAGACCCTGTGTACATTCCATGGAACATATATATCCTATTTCCTAGGTCAGAAGCCTTCTTACTTTCTGACCTACTCTGTACAGTTCTCTTAATGAGATTAACTTTTAGCTAATTAAAAATAGGGCCTCTACAATAAACTTGCTCTTAATACAAAGCATTATTTCTTGAGGTCAGAAGTTTTTTTGTTGTTGATGATTACATTAGGTCTGTATTCTTCAGCTTTATGTTCCAAGTCTTATTAATAACCCTAAGTCATGTTCCCAGAGTTATTTCTCATCATTTGTAGTCTAAATACTATACTTATCTTGTTGCTGCAATATCTGACCATGGTAAGCAGTCAGTAAATGTTTGCTGAATGAACGGATTCCCCACTAGTCCCCTCTACTCATACTCTCTGCTTTGGTCATACTGTTTATCCCCGTACACAACTCTTTTCTTCCCTCTTAACTTTCATTCTTACAATTTTTTTTTTTGCTCCCTCATTGACCACTCAAAAAATGTTTACTGAATATCTACTTTATTCTGGTTCTAGGGATATAGGTATGACCAAAATAAGGTCTCTGACCTCATGGAACTTTACAATCTAAAGGAAGAGGAAAATAAGCAATTAAAACAGTGTAGTAAGTGCTGTGATAGTAGGTTTATATAAGGATGTCATAGACACTTAAAGACAACTAACTCAATCTAGAGGGGGTTCAGGGAAGGCTTCCAGGAGGAAGTGACATCTAGACTGATAGCTGAAGAATGTATAGGAGGAATAAACCAGGCCAAGGGAAAGGCACAGAAAAGGAGAATGGAGGTGGAAGAGAGAATAATGTTCAAGGCTGAGGGAATGCCTGCACCAGCTGAATAGTATTCCTGTCACAGTTGAAATCCCAGTTACATTTTCAGCCTGTATCTGATTTTACATTCTTCACGAAGCTATGAGTAGGTGGATTTTTATCCCTTCTTAGGACCTTTCCAGCATTTTGCTTGTGTATCAAATGTCTTTTATGATATTCTTCCTTGTACTTTAAAAGTGATTATTATATCTTTACTCTTTCCCTTATGAGCCTAGAGTATGTGTCTGAGCATGTGAGATGCATAATAAATTATTTGTTAAAGTACTTGTTCTATGCAGGATAGGTACTGGGCAGAAATATGCAGAAAAATCCCATAATGCTAGAAATTGTATTAAAATTAGACCATTTTCTACTTACTTGGGAAATTATAAAAGTAATGACCAAGTGAATTACACAGATGTTTTAAAAGCAGCTTAAAAAGCACTCTCATGTGCAGTGTCAAGGTGATAGCTGACTGCACTCACGCGGTTGTCTCATTGTTTATAAACCTTTTAAGTTATTAGCATTTGTCAAAATTTATTAAACTGTATACTTAAAATATCGTAAAAAAAATACTGTAAATTGTACCTCAATAAAATAAGGTGTAAGAGTGGAAGTATGCCCGAATCCCAGTTAGCCATCAATAATGATAGAAAGATGGAAGCCTAATAAGGGAAAATTGAGGATGATTTGTATATAATGTGTTTTATGCTCTTTATATGTGAAATGAGTGTGATTTGCTGATGATTTTATGGTAAGTGTGTGAATCAGTAAGTGTGCTGACTTGCAGATTCTCTCTACCTGCAACACCCACTAGTGAGCACACTCATGTGTGTGCCCTTTTTTGTTCTGGATTTGTCTGTCTCCACTCCCTCTAAAGAGTTTGAAGGAAGGGAACAATTCTTCAAAATGAGTGAAAAAACACTAAAATATTTGTTGCTGAAACAGATCTGCTTCTGTTCTTCTCCCAGAAACATGGTAGTGGCTTTGAAGGAGCTGTCTATTCGAGGTGATTTCCGAACTACAGTTGAATACCTGATCAAATTGTTGGAGACTGAAAGCTTTCAGTTGAATAGAATTGACACTGGTTGGCTGGACAGACTGATAGCAGAAAAAGTACAGGTGTGTATTTTTCCACTTGCAAAAGCAGCTCTGGGATTGGATTTTTATAGGCTTGTGGTATGATCTGTCTGTATCACTAAATTTGGTTCTTGATCTACCTGGAAAAATCTAGGGATTAGTTGAATTTTAGCATTGTAAGAGTTCCCCTGCCTGTATTATAGTCATTTGATAAGTTCTACTGTTAAATGTGTTTCAGAATTACCAACATCTATAGTTCTGCTTGGGAGTTCTAGTAGCATAGTGGCTAAGGCACTTGACTGCTAACCAGAAGGCTGGCAGTTCAAACCCACCAGCCACACCTCAGAAGGAAGATGGGGCAATCTACTTCCATAGTGATACCGCCTCGGAAACCCAAGGAGGGGTCGCTCTGAGTCTGGTCCAATTCGATGGCAAATAACAACAACAGCAGCATAGTTCTGCTTAGAGGAGCCTCATTTAAATCAGAGTTACCCTTTGTTTCTGAGTTATCCAAGATTTTATATAAAATTATTAGATTGCTGGGTAGTTCAAAATTTGAGTACTCACCATTTTTCTTTGACATACCAAAACCCAAATCTTTTGTACCTTTTAAAATTTATTTCTGTTAAAAACTTTGAGTGGCTCAGTGGAAATTATAAGAAGAGTGGTAGAGGGAAATGTTTCCCTTCTAATCTTTTTGTTCATCTCTATTCAAATGAGGCTTCTATTCCAATTCTAAAATTATTTGTACTCATTTTTATTTCAAAAACCATTTGGGTAGTAAGGATGGCGATTTTCAACATAGCTGTTTTTCCTTAGCAAACTTGATCCTGATTTGAATTTAGGGGCCATGGTGCCAAGTGACCATGCTTTCAATCTACTCTCTCTCTCTTCCTTTTAGGCAGAGCGACCTGACACCATGTTGGGAGTTGTATGTGGAGCTCTGCATGTGGCAGATGTGAGCCTGCGGAATAGTGTCTCTAACTTTCTTCACTCCTTAGAAAGGTAGGCTTTGTTTCTTCTAGGTTGTGCAAGCTAACAAGGGGTCCTGATTATAGGACTGAAGCTCAAAGACCTGTTTGTTCTTCAGTTTGTTTCTGGCAGCTTGCGAGTGTTACTTGTTATTCACTGACTGTGGAAGAAGGAGGGAGAGGGAATTTAAGTGTTTATATTGCAAATTATTTTGGGACTCTAACGGCAGCTTCTAGAGATGAGCTTATTTCACAGTTAGAATAGGTGGGGTTTTTTGTTTGTTTGTTTAGGACAGACTCCAGCTGAAGTAAACTTTTATTTTGTACTAGAATCAAATCTCTGATGATGAAATTCTGGTGCTTGTCCCTAGCATTGAACTCTAAATATTCCATGTATTACCTGTAACACATTTCAGGAATTAATAATTTAAACTGATATTCAATATAGCCTCCTGAGCCTTTCAAGTAGAGGGTCAGACATGTATAAAGCTAAGCTAATTTCTAACACTGATTCTGGAGACTAAGCTCTGGCTTTGAGTCCTCAAAGAAGTGGTCCAAAGGCTAATCATTTTAAAGCACTTTAATCACAGACATTTTATTTCCTTTTGTGTTGTTAGACTTATGTCAGCTCCCATGTAAGGTTTCTGAAAAGAAGAAACAAAATGTGAAAAATTGCACTAAGTTTGTACAATTATTAATCTTCACAGTTCATATCTTTTACTATGTTACTTTCATACACTAAACCTTTAGAAGCTCTCGTCACTTCTGTATTAAATCTAAAACTGTCGGTGTGACTTTGAACCCCTCTATACTTTGGCCCCTTTTTGTCAGTCCAGTCTTAGCTTATTTCTGTTTCTCAGCATACAGTTTCTGTCTTAGTTGAATGGTTTACCCTTCGGTTGTGCACAGGTGCCAGGTGCACTCTCCTCTCCAAGACTTATTTTTTTTTTAACTTCTTTTTAAAACATATTTTTGAAACTTGAGTTTTAAAGTAATATGTGTGTGTTATTTGAGTGAAAGTTTGCAGAGCAAGTTCGTTTTCCATTTAACATTTATACACATTGTGTTTCATGACACTGATTGCAATCCCTATTACATAACAGCTCTCTTCCTACTTACTCCCTGTTGTTACCTTTTCCCTATGTCCTTCTTTCCTATGCATCCTGCCCTCTGAGCTATCTCCCTATACAAATGTTCACCTCATAGACCTATTGTTTGCCTGGAGGTTAAGCTATGGGAGTAAATTCATTTTCAGGACCTAAGGGTTGACATGGGGCCGTAGTCTCAGGGATTTCGCTAGTCTCTATCAGACCAGTAAGCCTGGTCTTTTTTATGATTTTGAGTTTGTTCTATAATTTTCTCCCACTCTGTCCAGGATCTCCAATTTTGATCCCTTTTTTAGTGATATGCAGTGGTAGCCAGTCACCATCTAGTTCTTCTGGTCTCAGGGGTCATATTGGCTGAGATTCCCATGCTCCACTAGTCCCTTGAACTAATTGTTTGCATGTATCTTTGATTTCCTTCGCTCTTCTTTGCTCCAGGTGAGGAGAGACCAGTTGTTGCATTTCAGATAGCCACTTGCAAGCTTTTAAGACCCCCATTGCTCCTCACCAAAGTAGGATGGAAAACCATATTATTGTGTGGTATGTTATGCCAGTTAAGCTTCATATCCCCCATGAGGGTGGTTCTGAACCTGTGGGCCCAGCGATACACTTCCTCAAGGTGTTTGGCTATGGTTAAGAAGTTACACCTTTGGATTTACTCTGTAAACTTTCACCTAAATCACAATTTTAAAAATGCCCCCTGTTACTTTAAAGTAATTTCAAACTTATAAAACAGTTCCATCGATAATACAAAGAACTTCTATGTATTCTTTACCTGTATTCACCAGTTACTAATAACTTTGCACACCTCATCTATCACTCCTGTTATTACAAAAGACATTTTTGATACTGTTTCCCTCCTTGGTAATGTCCTTTTTTTTCCCCTTTCCCTTCCACCTAACCATGGCTTATTGCTTCTTTTTTCCCTTTTTAAGACCCCAAATAAAATCCCAGCTGGTAAGAGTAGGGTTTTTTAATTTTTTTTAAGCTTTGATTTTTATTAACAGGTAATAAATAATAAATACATTGACATGGTTCAAAATTCAAAAGGTACAAAAAAATATGTGGTGAAAATTCTCCTTACGTTTGTTCCCTGCCTACACAGTTCCCTTTCCATTAGGCAACCAATGTTACCAGTTCTTACATAATTTTCCAGAGATATTCAAAAATTATATAACATAAACATTTACTATTTCTTTCTTCCCACTCCTCCCCCAACCTTTTTCTAAACACTCTGGCAATGTAGTGCCTAAGGCACTTGACTGCTAACCAGAAGGCTGGTGGTTCACCAGGCACTCCTCACCAGCCACTCCTCAGAGGGAAGGTGGGGCAATCTACTTCCATAGTGATACTGCCTCAGAAACCCAAGGAGGGGTTGCTATGAGTGAGGTCCGACTCGATAGCATGTAACAACAACAACAACAACAACAACGTTAGTGTACTCTAAAGTTGTTCTATACTTTGTTTTATTCACTTAACGATATGTTTTGGAGAGTGTTCCACATTGGAACATAAGGCTTTATCTTTCTTTCTAATGGCTGCAGAGTATTCCATAATCAACCCTTATTTGATATATGTAATCAATCCCTTAAAATGATGAAATTGCTATTAGGTTTTTGATATTCCAGGAAAGGCTGTGGTAACCTTTAAGCTTCCTTTATAAACTTTTAAAACTTTCTGGAAGTAAATGTCTCTCACATTTTTGTTCTTTCAGGGGCCAGGTCCTTCCTGCACATACACTTCTGAATACAGTAGATGTTGAACTCATCTATGAAGGAGTCAAGTATGTACTTAAGGTATGCTTAATCCCATTAATACCTGTCTTCCTTTTTTCTTTTAAATGTAAAATATATATAACAAAATACTGCCACTTTAACCATTTGTAAGTATACAACTTAGTGATATTAGTTCACTCTGTGTCATAGTTACCTTGTGCTGCTGTAGCAGAAGTACCACGAGTGGATGTCTTTGACCAACAGAGATTTAGTCTTTCATGGTTTAGGGGGCTGGAAGTCAATTCAGAGCACTGGCTATAAAGGGAAGGGTTTCTTTTTCAGTTGGCTCTTGTTGTTCTTGTTCTTGTTATGTGCCGTCGAGTCAACCCTGACTCATAGCGACCCCTCCTTGGGTTTCCGAGGCAGTATCGCTACCGAAGTAAGATTGCCCAACCTTTCTTCCGAGGAGTGGCTGGTGGGTTTGAACCGCCAGCCTTCTGGTTAGCAGTCAAGTGCCTTAGCCACTATGCTACCAGAGCTCCTTCAGTTGGCTCTAGAGGAAGGTTTTTGTCCCCTTCAATACCTGTGAGCTGGCTTCCCTTGGAGATATCACATGTGTCTTGACATCAGTCTTCAACTGGGTCTAGGAGGGTCTTAGCACAGGGACTCTAGGTCCAAAGGAAGCACCCCACTCCTAGCTGTTCTTGGTAGTGCTAAAGCCCCTCCTCCTCTGCTTGTTTCTCTATCTCTTACGAGATAAAAGGTGATACAGCCCCAAGCCCAGGGAAACTCTCCTTATATTGGATCAAGGATGTGATCTGAATAAGGTGTTTATCCCACTCCAGCCCCCTTAAAACTGATTGGCTGATCACATCGGATCATATCATAGGGGATGATTACATCATTGCATTACTGCCAAACCACTGAGAATCATGGTCTAGCTGAGTTGACACATATTTTGGAGGGATACAATTCAATCCATGACACCATGTTTTGAAACCATCACCACTGTCCATTTCCAAATGTTTTTTACCATCCTAAACAGAAACTCAGTACCCCTTAAGCTTTAATTACTGTTTTCCCTTCCCTATAACCCCTGGTAACTACTAGTAGTAACTTTTGTCTTAGTGTGTTTACTTATTCTAGATATTTCATATAAATTGGATCATATAATATTTTTTCTTTTGTGCCTGACATTTCACTTAGCATGTGTACCTTTTGGTCTCTCTTTGTTATCTTACTTTCTTTAAAGGTCGTGGGGTAGGGGAAAATATTTGGTCTATTTCAGGGGCTGGAACATTAGTGAAATTACAGTCATTATTTTTGGCAGTAGCATGAAACAATATTTGATTATTCTGTGAAAACCGTTTCAGTGCTCCTCAATTTCACATATACAGCCCAGAGATAAAGGAGAGACCAGAAACAGCCAGAGCAGGGAGAATAAGGATATCATGCTTGGTAAACTAGAGGGTCAGCGATAAAGGGGAAGACCCTCAGCGAGATGTATTGACACAGTGGCTGCAACGCTGGGCTCAAAAGTAGCAATGATTGTGAGGATGGTGCAGGACTCTAGGCAGTTGTCTTTCTGTTGTAAATAGGATCGTTACATGTCAGAACTGACTCGATGGCACCTAACAACAACAGTTTGCTTGCAGCAGGACTGAATCATGCCCACAGCCACTCATGCTAATAGCACCTGTGCCATGATTTTTTTTCATCTGGCAGATCTTTTTTACCTATATCTTTGAAGTACTGAAATTTTGTCTGTGGCATTACCTGGCAGGGACACATTGACTTGTCCCTTCTGGTACTCATTGCCTACAGGTGACTCGACAGTCCCCTAACTCCTACGTGGTGATCATGAATGGCTCGTGTGTGGAAGTAGATGTTCATCGGCTAAGTGATGGAGGATTGCTCTTGTCTTATGATGGCAGTAGCTATACCACATACATGAAGGAGGAAGTGGATAGGTGAGTGGCTTATTTGAGGTCCTTTTGATGGTCATTATATCAACCTTTTCCCTTAATAGTTACTGTCTCTTGAGATTTTACCTTTTTTGGTACTCTTCTAACAAAAATTCAAGGAGTACAATTAAAACCATGTATCTCTCTACCAGTCTGATGTTGGGACACCATGAAAAATAAGTTCTCTTTATGGGCATTAATAGTTTTTTTCCTGGTGGCATAGTACCTAAGACATTTGACTGCTAACCAGAAGGCTGGTGGTTCAAACTCATCAGCTACTCTTTGGAAAGAAGGTTGGGCAATCTACTTCCATGGTGATACCACCTCAGAAACCCAAGGAGGGGTTGCTATGAGTCGGTTCTGACTTGATGGCAGTCAGTTTGGTTTTTTTGGTTTATACAAGTTATACGTAAGTGTACACTGTATTTTTCTCTTAAATACATCCACAAATAAAAATACCCTTTAAACGTTACCCTGCACCTTGCTTTTTTTCATTAACATATCTTGGAGACTGTTCAGCTGGAGATGTTAGCAATTACATAATCTTTGTTTTTTTTTTTTTAATAGAATTATTCTTTTTTTTTTTTTTTTAATGGTCACATAGTATTCCATTAGATGGATAGACCATGATTTATTTAATCTGAACATTATTGAAGGAAATTTTGGTTATTTGGCATTCTAAACAGATTATGTGTGTGCAGGGTAAAGGTTTCAGGGTTTTTTTAATTGTTGTTTTTTTAATATTAACTTTATTCTACTTGTATTCTTTTACATCTGAGTTGCTTTACTGCCTTACATACTTCCACTTGTCTCCTAGGTATCGCATCACGATTGGCAATAAAACCTGTGTATTTGAGAAGGAAAATGACCCATCAGTGATGCGCTCACCTTCTGCTGGGAAGCTGATCCAGTATATTGTGGAGGATGGAGGCCATGTGTTTGCTGGCCAGTGCTATGCTGAGATTGAGGTCAAGTGGAGAATGGGCTTTAATATCATTGGAGGGAAGGTACAAAAGAGTTGGCTGGAGGGATCACCGCAGGAGATCCTGGCTGGAGTGGGAGAATAATGTGGAATAAAAGTCAAACTTGTAAAGAAGACCAGGTTTACTGGTCGGATAGAGCCTGGGTGAGACCCCCAAGACTCTGTCCCCTAGTTACCCTTCAGGCCTAGAATTGAACTCACTCCTGTGGCTTCCAGCCAAACAATAAACAGACATATAGGGTGAACGTTTGCATCAGGTAGATATACTCCTTAGGACGACCAATCATTTGCACAGAGAGATAGCTCTGGGGGCAGGAGTGCCTAGAAAAGGAGGACACAGGGAAGAGATAACTGTAGGGAGGAAGTGGGAAGAGAGCTGTTACGTTGTGGGGATTGCAGTCAATGTCATGAAACAAAATGTGTATGCACTACTGTATGGAGAATGAATTTGCTCTGTAAACTTTCACCCAAATCACAATAAAAATTTAAATAATAATTTTAAAAAAAGGTTGAATGGAATGGACTGAGACTGAAGAGTAAAAGATAGGAAAGAGTAACGGTTGGTTTAATTGGAATTGTGAACTTTAATATTTAAAAACAAGTAAAAATGCTCTAAATTTTGTTTGACTAGTGGAAGTCTAGCTCTAAAAATAGATATTTGGCAATAACACTTGAGTGCAAGGTATTGTTCTAAATAATGGATATACAGAGTAAATATGATAATAGATGGCTTGGGGCACAAAACAAACAAGAAATGCAATATGAATTGTGAGAGAGCTTAGCACAGAGTTTAGGAGGTAACCTAGCCCAAACAAAGGCAGAGTGGTTGTAGATACATAGTAAGAGAAAATTCTTAACAAAGGAGACATTTGTTCTGAGTTTTGAAAGTTAGGTAATAATAGACCAGGGAAAGAAGGGCAGAAAAGGGTGTTTAAAGCTGAAGGAACAGCATGTGCAAAGGCACAGAATCGAGAGTATGGTGTGTTTAAAAAAAAAAAAAAAAACTCCTATCAAGTTGGAGCCAACTCATAAGCGACCCCTCCTTGGGTTTCTGAGGCAGTATTGCTACGGAAGTAGATTGCCCAAACCTTCCTTCCAAGGAGTGGCTGGTGGGTTAGAACTGCCAGGCCATTGGAGCTCCATGGTATATTTAGGGAGATGCAAATATGTATTGGTATTGCTTGAGAATAAGGCTAAGGTTTAGTTGGGGGAGTTTGCCCATTAAAAGATGCAAAAGAGGCAATTGGGTGTGAGATCACAAAGAATCCTACACCAAAAAAAACAAACTCGCGGCCATCAAGTCGATCGTGACTCATAGTGACTCCTCACATTCCAGAGGCAGTGTCAGTATGGAAGTGGATTGCCCAGTCTTTCTTCCAAGAAGTGGCTGGTGGGCTTGAACTTCCAGCTGTCTGGTTAGCAGCCAAATGCCTTAGGCACTAAGTCATACTAAAAAGTTTAGACTCTCTTAAGTCTGTGGGAAGTCGAAGAATCTTAAGCAGGAAAGTAATATGAGATTTGGGTTCTAGAATGATTATTGGAGGATACATAGGAGGGAGATCTGTTAGGTTATGGAAGGGAAGGTACTCTAGACCAGAAATAGGTCCTAAGCTACCACAATGGCAGGAAAGAGTTTTGAAGAAGTTTAAAAGATGTGCTTGACTGGACTTGGTAACTGGTAGACAAGGGGGAAAGGAAGAGTAAAGAATGACCTGGATATTTTAGGTAGGCAAGACTGTCTGAGAGCAAGAGGCTAGATCCCTTGGTATAAGGAGCTAAATTGTTCATCACTTCTGTGTACAAAACAAATAAAAACACAAACTGGCAAAATGGATTTAAAAGTTAGAAACCAGGTAAATGGCTGTAAATGTCCTTAATCCCTAAAACTGAGTCTTGAGAGAGATCTAATTGGTTGCTCTATAGTCTATAGTAGAGTTTGAAAGATTCCCGTTATTTTGGATTGAATTAGATATAGTCTAACTTACATGATAAGGTATAAACTGATCTCTTAATGTCACTTTCTTGTGAAAAGAGAAGTCAGATTCTAATTTTTAGTTTTCACTATAGGTAATGAAGATGGTGATGACCTTAACAGCTGCAGAGTCTGGCTGTATCCATTATGTCAAGCGGCCTGGAGCAGCTCTTGACCCTGGCTGTGTTATAGCCAAATTGCAATTGGACAACCCCAGCAAGGTCCAGCAGGTGAGTGGGAAGGTACTCTGAATATTGCTGTGTAGAGCTGAAGCATATTGCAGGAGTAGTTTGGAGGGGCAAGGGATTTCAGTGCTTGGTTTACCAGTTTTTTCTTAAGCTCTTTTTTTTTCTTTTTCTTCCTGATCATACATCTTATATTTTGTCTATAGTATTATGGAACTCGAGTTTCTAGAGTACTGCACTTCTGTAATTGCCTCATGATGCTGCCTCCATTCACTTTACTCCTGGTAGCTGAGTATCATGAAAGGATATCTTGATTTTGAATGATGACTCTGAGTTGCAGTGATGTCTTTGTACCCTGAATAGAAGATGGTGGATGACTTAATCTCTCATTGGGGTTGACAGGCTGAGCTTCACACTGGTAGTCTGCCACGGATCCAGAGTACGGCACTTAGAGGCGAGAAGCTCCACCGAGTTTTCCACTATGTCCTGGATAATCTGGTCAACGTAATGAATGGATACTGCCTTCCAGATCCTTTCTTTAGCTCCAGGGTATGAATCACTTCTCTTGGGGAAGGGATGTACAAATTGGGTACCTTGTCTCAAAGATAGTTTTAAGTCTCATAACAATTTTTTAGAGGGAGAGAAAGAGCTGTTTGTCCTGGAACTCTCTCACCCTTCCTTATGAGATTTGAGGTCTTTAAAACCTTGATTCTTATCTGCCATTGACTCCACATTTAATTGAGATTACTCTTTTTAAAACCAAAGAGCAAGGGCAGTGTTTAGTCAGGTGCTTATATTGCCATTTCAAAATAAATACTGTGTGGCAGTGAGTTCACATATATTTATTTGTGAGATTATATTAACTTTGTCTAGATTCTGTGTTACTATTTCTTTCTCTCCAGGTAAAAAACTGGGTAGAGCGGTTGATGAAGACCCTCAGAGATCCCTCCCTGCCACTCCTAGAATTGCAAGATATTATGACCAGTGTCTCTGGCCGTATTCCCCCTAATGTGGAGAAGTCTATCAAGAAGGAAATGGCTCAATATGCTAGCAACATTACATCAGTCCTTTGTCAGTTTCCCAGCCAACAGGTATTTATAGTGTAACCTTATTGTATTCCATTGGCTACCAGTACTGAGTACATGTTGTAGGATTCCTTCTTGTTTAAAACCAAAAACCATACCCACTGCCATTGAGTTGTTTCTGACTCATAGTGACCCCCATTGTGTTTCGAAGGTTGCAAATCTTTATGGAGCAGACTGCTTTATTTTTGTTCTGCATAGCGGCTGGTGGGTTTGAACCACTGACCTTTTGATTTGCCACCAAATATCTTAACCACTATACCACCAGAGCTCCTTAGTTAATATAAAATAGAGGGGTATTAATAATTTTATCATTAGAGACTTCTTTATTATCTTGGCAAAACAGTTATTACCTTAGGTAAAACAATGCACATGTGGGGACTAAAGCTAGGCAGTTGTGCAGCTCTTGCTTGTCAGCCTGTGGTAGAATAGTCGTTTTTGTGATGCAGTCCTTAGTCCATCTGGGAAAGGGTGAAAAAAGAGAAAAGTTGCTTATTTATTTAACACAAGCCCCTAACGTCTGCCCACTAATCCCCAGCTGCTCCATGTGAAAGGTAATAGGAATTGTTATAACAAAAAGGATTCCCTGTAGTGATGCTATAAAGGTTGGTGTTTTGTGTTCCTTTTGGGGTTGTGCTTCATTTTTCCCTTTCTTGTGCCTTAGATTGCAAACATCCTAGACAGCCATGCAGCTACACTGAACCGAAAATCAGAACGAGAAGTCTTCTTCATGAACACTCAGAGCATTGTACAACTGGTGCAGAGGTAATGACATGTCTCTTCAGATTCCCAAACTGATAGTACTGTACCTTCATTCCTTTTAAGTAGTCATGAAGAGGTTTATCTCAGGTTTGACTTAGGTATGTTAGAAATAACCGATAATATCTTAGAAGTGTGAATTAACTCTCATACTCAATATTTCTGATGATTTATTTCTAATCAACATCTATCAATTTTTAAAGCACAGAAGATTTTTTTTCCCCTCATAATTTTGATGAGACTCCTAATTATTCTTCTGGCAGAGGACCAAGTATGACCTAATATTCCTCTTAACTTAATACATTGCCAACTATTGAACTAAAGGGACACTCAGCATTTTCAACTTTAAGATGCTCAGTTTATCAGTCTTTCAGATATGCCTTAGCCATTGCAAAGATGTGGTAATAATTTCTACTTAGCAGTAGAATCGAGATACTTTTATGCAGGGCTGGTTGTGAAGATTATTTGTGGGCTTTTTTTTTTTTTTTTCTTTCTTTCCTTTTTAAAAAATCTTATAGCCAGATTTCTTTTAAGCTTGAAATTTGAATTAATCAGGTTAAGTAATTCTAGGCTTCCCCTGCCCTGCCCTATATTCAGAAGGAAAGCTGTTGATTGGAAAGTCTAGAGAGTAAATTTGGTCCCTGGGTATATTATTTATAGGGTTGGCCTGCCAGGTTTTTCAGTGGAGCCTTCTTCTGTTTGTCTAGGTACCGAAGTGGCATTCGGGGCCACATGAAGGCTGTGGTGATGGATCTGCTTCGGCAGTACCTGCGTGTGGAGACTCAGTTCCAGAATGGTAAGGCTCTTTCTGAGGACTCCATCTAAGTAGCTTCTGAATCTGATGACAAACCCAATTTGTACTTACTTATAGGACTGTCTGGCAGCTAAGCCAGTTTATCTTGTCACCAGTTCTTCACATTAACAAACTATTTCTCTTCTCTTTTCTCAATAAAAACCAAACCTCCACATTCCACTAGCTCCAAAGAAAGAACAACAATGAAACTCATCTTTATGAGATTGTAAACCCAGTGTGCTTCTGGGAAAGGTCTGAGATAATTTTTCTACTAGAGATTAGAATTACCTTTTGACGTCTTCTTGACCTTATACAGTGAACGTTGAGTCATGACCAGGCTGAAATTAAGAAACTCACATCAGAAGAGCTTGCCTTTCAGCAGCTAATCCATGGATTGAACCACAAGTATCTGGGAAGAGCTCATATTTCCAGTATTTTTTAATGTATCATTTAGTTGGAATTTATCCATAGCTTTCTCTGAAGAGTTTCACTAAATGATGTAGAAAGTCCTAAGTGTGAATGAAATACCCTGGTTGAGATTTTAAAGCTCTGTACTGCTGATACTGCTTCCTTCCACGAGATGGCAGTAAAATACCACAGAATATGAAACATTACCTAATTTTTTTTTTTTTAATCTGTTCTGATCCCTCTTGTATCTTTTAAAACACGGCTTTGTCAGGCATGAACAGCAAAAACTTCTAAAGTAAATATCAGCAAACTGAATCCAACAGTATATGTATAGCATAACACATGAAAACTAAATTAGGTCATCGCATGAAGGCAAGGTTGATTAATATTGGGAAAAATTGATTAATGTAATTTACTATGTCATAGACTAAGTGAGGAGGAAACATGGTCATTATCTCAAGAGATGGAGAAGAAAAGCACTTGACAAAATTTAACATCCATTCATGATAAAGTCTTAGCAAATTAGGAATGAAATGGAACTTAATTTTATAAAGGATATCCACAAAAAATCTACAAAGATGCATCATATATACAGTATATGCAGTATATATGTTGCAAGTATTCTCTTTATGATTAGAAATGAGAGAACACCCACTATCACTACTTCTTTTCAATATTATACTGGAGGTCCTAGCCAGAGCAGTAAGGCAAGAAAAAGAAGAATCAAGGACTAGAAAGGAGGAAGGAAACAGATATGTCACTATTGAATATGATAGGCTGTCTTATCAGGAAACCTTCAAAAATTTTACAAATTTATTACTAGAATTATTAAGAGTCTAACTTAGTTACTGTATACAAAAATCAACATACAATACTTCCTTTCTGTATAGTAGGGCAATCAGTTAAAAAAAAAATTTAGAAGAGTATACCATGGAAAATAGCAGTCAACAATATAAAATACCAATGAATAAAACTAATAAAAAACATACAAGCTTCTTCTGGAGAAAAATATAATCAGAGAAACACTGTTAAAGGATGTATGATTAAGTGGAGATAAGACATAATCTTAGACTGGAGTATATACTGTTGCAGAGGTTTCACTTCTCTCTGTGCATTCATTCAAGTAAAAATCCTACTAAGGTTTTTTTTGGTGTGTGTGTTTAGGTGGGGTTTATCAAGTTGATTTTAAAATGTACATGAAACAAAAGTCTGACAACCAATATACCCCTAAAGAAATAGAAAGTGAAGAGATCTGTCCAATCAGATAACAAGATTTAATATAAAGCCATCATAATAATTCAAAAATTGTGATATTGCTGTAGGGACACATTAACAGACCAATGGAACATAATAGAGTACCCAGAAACGGATCCATACATAGATGAAAGATACTTAATTTATGACAGGCAAGGCATTGTAGATCATAGGGAAGGGATAGATTTTTCAATAAATGATATTGGGGAAATGGGTTATCCATTTGCAAAAATAAAGGAAGAAAAAGAAATTGGCTAACTACCATATACCATACACACAAAATCATTCCAGATGAATTAAAGACATAAATATGTATTAAAGGGAAGGTTACCACAATCAATCATGGGGGTGGCTTGGGACCAGGCAGCATTTTGTTCTGTTGCACATGGAGTCACAATGAGTTGGGGGTTGATTCAGCTGCAGCTAACAACACGACAATATTTTCATGACCTCAGAGTAGGAAAGATTTTGTCATACAAGACATATGAAGTACAAGCTACAAAAGAAAAGATTGATTTTAATGCACTTAAGAACTCTGGTAGCATAGAGCCTAAGGTACTTGACTGCTAACCAGAAGGCTGGTGGCTCAAACCCACCAGCCACTCCTCGGAAGGAAGGTTGGGCAGTTTACTTCCGTAGTGATACTACCTCGGAAACCCAAGGAGGGGTCGTTATGAGACAGGTCCGACTAAACAGCACATAACAACAACAACAACAACAAGAATTTATGTATCTACTTGTATATGGAATCAGAAGACAGTATAAAGTGACTGAAAATACAGGGCACAAAGAGGAAGGAAGGTATTTGCAAAACATAAACAAAGGTCTAGTGTATAGAACATAGAGAATTGTTGTGACTTGATAAAAAATAGACAACCTGTGACCGCCATGATAACATTAGAAAAAGGAAGGACACTGAATTGTGCACATAGGAGATAGACGACAGATGCTAGTACCAACCAGTGTACGCACAATATTGCATTATCATTAATACCAAACACCACACTGCAGATAAACACCTGAGAGGACCAGACGGGGGTCAGTGAACAGGAGTATACTCTAGACCAAAGATAGATTCAGCGAAGATGTGGTAGTTATGTTTGTGTGTCAACTTGGCTGGCCTGGTTGAGTGGCTGGACAGCTGGTGGTAGTTGCTCCCCACGATGAGACTGGCAATCAACTCCATGGTGGGATCTATCACAAGCAGCTGAGTAGCTGCCTTTGGGATGTGGCCTGCTTCCTGTATATAAGGAGAAG